ATTGAGTGCTAAATTATTTAATGCACTTGGTTAGTGACACTAAATTATTTGCTTTTCTTACATTTTCTATCATCATTCCTAATGATCATAATCTTAGAAATGTCTAAAATTATATAGGTTATGCGAAATTTATATCATATGATCATAACATAGTCCATTTGCTCATTATCTTCATTGATAATGTTGGATTTTCTTCTACATAGCTGTATTAATAGCTCCTTTATAAAGATTGGACGGCTTTAACGTGACAGTAATAGAGAGTTGGGAAACCTTCTTTGCCACTGACGCTTATTTTAAAATAACTTTTAATCTCACTGTACAGGCAATCATAATTTCTTAACTTATCTCACATTGCATGATTTTTAATTAACATCCTTTATTTTCACCATCATATCAGAATCATTTAAATAATTTTTCTCTTTTTTATACACATGCTATTATCAACATATATCAATACTGTAATAAAGAAGTTAATATGCAATAAGGTAAGTGACATAACTTCCTGAATATACGTTGCAGGCCATATTACTTGCATAGAATTAAAATAATTTATGCTTAATTTTAACAGGTGGACATGTACAGTGCATTTGACTTATTGATCATATCTGTTATCATTAATGTGCTTAATATTAAGAAATTTCTACTAACTTGTTCTTAACAATTCAATGTAATTATAAAATTTAACAATCGCTAGACTTTTGAATAATTTGCCTCTATATTAGAGGTTTATTATCTCACTATGAACGATAGATCTCCTACTCCACATAACCTTATTTTATTGTTTCAAAATCTCATTCTTCTATAAGCAATCTAATAAAATGAAAATTTCATTAATTTATACCAATTTTTGATTTAGAAACACAATATAACACAACATGCTATAAAAATAATATTTTTATCTCAAAAACACATTTCCTTAATTAAGCTTCCAAGCTTATGGACTTTAATCCAAACTCAATGCATAAATGTAAACATTAAAAGTTGCTTTTTACCTAAACTTTTCAAGCTCCCTCTTCTCTTCATCTTCCTATTTTGCCTCTGTTGCTTGC